GCGTGCATAAATATTGCGAAGCGCCACGGGACACATGAAGATGCTATTCAGTCAATTTTGCCTTTATGCAGGAGATGTTTCACTTCAGGGACCGGATGTCCTCTTTTGCCAAAACAAGTCTACTTTTTGGCAGTGAGGAAATAAAAAAAATCCGGATGGGATATGAATATGGTTTCTTTACCTGAGTGGTGGGGAGCACAGTGATCTCGCGGTTAGCACGTCTGCCTCGTAGTTTTGAAGTTCCGGGTTTGTAACTCGGTCCTGGCTTTTCTTGTGTGGAACTCGAGTGTTTTTCCCAACGCTTCTATGGGGTTTTCTCCAGGTTATTCACATTCCATTCTGTAACAAGAAACCATAAAAAAAAGAAGAAGAACATTTTTTTTAGTATTTCGTATAAGTTGGAAAGCAGAAAATTTTGTTTCTGGATTCAAGCAGTTTCTCATTAAAGTTTCTTCCAATTCCTGCAAGAGATAACCTAAAAAGATATTAAAGGCCATCCGTGTAGTAGTAAGTCATATCTCACCCGTAACACTTTTTTTGGGGGGGGGGGGGGGGAAGGGTAACCATAACATGGGCAACCTGTGCTATACACACCGTCAAATTCAAGTAACGTGCTTCTTGGTGACTATGTGCTGTGTTATATGTAAACCATGTGTGTGTGTGTGTGTGTGTGTGTGTGTGTGTGTGTGTGCGTGTGTGTGTGTGTGTGCGTGCGTGTGTGTGCGCTTTAAGCGTATCCCAGCATGGAGGCGTGTGGGATCATGTCACGGTAAACCTTGAGATCCGTGCTAATCATTAGCAGGGCGTTAAAACACGGGTGGCAGGCTGTGAAAACATTTGCAAAACACTTTTCATTTCCTCTGCCTTCACTTGCGGCAGCATCCCAACATGCACGCGCACGCACGGCAAGAAATGCCTGCTTCAAAACAAAATGGCGGATTTGCTGTGAAAATTCGGGCTTATTTTTCAAATTTTCAGGGCGCTCGACGGAGGGTTTCAACCGAAATGATCATTTTCAAAACAAAATGACCGACGTCTGTTTTCAAGCATGGGTCCTTAAGACTTTTTCGTGTGTCTTGTTTCAAAAGACGAGCCCACCCAATTTCGTGGTGATTGGTGTCATTTGTGTCAAGGCAGATAAGCAAATTCAACGTATACGGTCACTTCAAACAAAAATATCTGACTTCCTGTTCAATTTCCATCGGGGATCAGTGAGACTTTTCATGTGTTGTTATGATGTCCACCCAATTTTGCATCGATCGGATTTTAAGGCGCGCTGTGAGCTATTAAGAACACAGAAGGCTTTTAGGTGTGCCTTTTAGTGTGAAAAATACGGTAATACATTTTGTAATGAGTTGTTTTTTTTTTAACACACGATTAAAGTTTTTGAGCGTGAAACTCGAACGTCTTTGTGTCATCTGTCACCTACATCGGCGCCCTGCTGCTTTAAATGCTTCTACCGTCAAGAATTGTGGGTAATATCCTTTCGTAAAGGTTGAACGACAATTCGAAGAGGCCCCCCAGTGTTCAGGAAGTGAGCAGTCAGGATCTGAGCGATGCCTCGATTTGGGTTACATGAGAGCGCTATTTATTTGACGCGAACCTCTAACGGAAACCCAATCGCACGCCGGTGTGTGTATTTACCCTGTGGGGGATGCTGATGCGAATGTCAAAAACACACACACACACACACACACACACACACACACACACACACACACACACACACACACACACACGCAAGCAGACCAAAAATGAGACAAATGACATTTCACAAAATGACAACTTTTCATATTCTCCTGCGGACTTTAAGGAGCGGCCAGGGACGTGCGTGATTTTCGTGTGATATTGATAACACAGACCCGTGTCTTCTTCCTGACAAATGCAGCCCGGAGCAAAACCCGTTAGTCATCTTTGCATTGCATCATACTGTATGTCGAAACATTGTCAAGTGAGTGAATTGCATCGGTTCCAAATTTTTTATTCTTTCGGGAGTCGTTGACTTCAAAGACTTGTCTTGTTTTATCATGTAGCATATCTGGTTCATATTTGCTCACAACCACATGAATTTGTTCGGGTACGACTGCTGACCCAAATTCCTGAAAAACAGTATTGTCAAAACAAAGTGGCGGGGAACCAAGATGTCACAGCAGAAGCACTTTATTGATTTTCATGTTAATTGGTCCCCGGGAAATGGTCGAAATGACCCTGAAATGACTGATTCAAACCAAAGTGGAATAATTTCCGCGTCTTTACAGTCATGGGGTCTTGAGACTTGCTCATAATTGAAACTGGCTTTAGATACAAAATTTCAAAAGAATGACCGAATATCATGATTAGTACCATTTCACGTTTTATTGCAATTCCTTTAATTTCGCTGGCCACACACCGTGATGAAAACTCACTTCCCTCGCAATACAGTATTTGTTGCCCATCTAGTGTAACATGAGACAAACTTAACAATCAGGCAAAATCTCTTGGCGAAGTTGCTTTTTGAAGCAACCTGAAAATTACATTAAATAAAAAAAAGGCTACTGATAAATGTAAACAGCTTTGGTGGCTAAATTTAAAAAAAAATTCAAATTAAATCTGGGGTGCACTACTGAACAATGGCAAATCATCAAACATGCCACGCTCCACCTGCAGGCAATGACAAAAACTCAACAATATCAACACTAATAGTGCACATAGTTTAAATTTGGCAGCAGTCAAACCGTCTCTCGTCAGGTTGGGTTTGAAGCACCCATCCTCCCAAATGCCCGCTTCAAACTAAAATGGAGGACATGGGACTATTCAGGCATGACTTCACAATATTGTCTTGTCAATCACATTTCAAGTTTGACGTTACGTTTCATAGAGTCCTCTGTCCATTGCCATCAAAGACGTTTTCATGTTGCAAGTGTGATCGAGACACATAATCTTCATAACAATTGAAAGCTGAGCAGCATTATCATCATCATCATCATCATCATCAAATGTAACGTAGCAAACGAAGCAGGAACTCGGAAGGTGAGCAGGTCTCACTTCGCTTATTGTGGTTTATTTTCACACCCATTTACACCGACTACACTTTCACTTGCCTGTTTGCTTTCCCATCACTCGGCCTAAGTGGCCATGACTCCATCATGAGGGGCTTCTTTTTTTTGGGGGGGGGGGGGTAGTAACCCGGGTGGCCTCCAGAAAAGGTTGAAGTCGAGAGATTTGTTTATGAAAGCGACCGGCCTGGCAACAGCCTGCGGGAGCCGCAATTTGTCCTGCTAATGCCGCTAATTCATCTGGAGATTGTCATCGGCGCTGCGGCGCCTCTCCCAGGCTCCCGTCTTTCGCGTTTGGTTTCACCAGCCGACTTGATTGCGGCGTTTGCATTACAAATGCAAGCAAACGGTTGAACAAACAATGATTTTTTATTCCGAGCAAAAGCAGGCCGTTTCCATTCAGACTTTTCATTTCCTTGTTTACTCTGAGCAGGCAGACACCCAAAACAACAAACATAAAAGTTAATTTTCTGTAATTTGGATGATAATTATTCGCTGCTTTTGCTCTCAAAACATCTGCCGTTGCTTAGGTGCTAGCTAACCGGTACCATTAGCCTACTGGGGGCCCTTGTTCAATTTTACATCCGCAATTTCTAACTTCAAATCATCAAATAATCCATGACATGTTCCCTGCACACTCGGGGTGCGCGTCTCTCCAATTCAATCCCGATCTCAAGACAGTTGGACCTCCTTACAAAACACCTCGTGGGACACAACGAATCTGTACGTTATAATGGCGGTTCGTTGTAACCATTTCCTACAAAATGGCCGCCAAACTACAATGTATAGTACAGTGAATACTTATAGATGTAAAAACAAGAATACGGAACACCATCTAAACACGTCCATTATAAATGCAGTGCATGTATAGGAGCAGAAAAAAAATATCCTAAAAGACATGAAACACACAACAAGAGCAGTTTTACTTTGGGATATAAAATGTGATCGGCTTGTCTATCGCAAGCAAGCCGCCGCCCTCCCCCCACAGACCCACAAAATGACAACAAAGCCGTGACTGAAAACAGACGTCGAGTCTGTCATTCCATTTTTTTTTTTTTTTCAGGGCTCGTTCAAAGACTCATCTTGGAAAATTTTCTCCGATTGCTACATAATTTGAACGACGTCCAGTATACCAAACAGAAGAGCAGTGTTCGATTTGCCTCGAGTGCAATGATGGTCTCATCACCAAGAGATTCATCAGCGCAACTGACAGATTCCAACTTCTTTGTCATCTTCATCTTCCAACTGTCTCCGCTGCCTACTCGTGTCGCGCACTGGACAAGAGTGCTTTCATTCTTTTATTTTGTCCGTGTGATGACTCATCGCCCTTTGTGCTGCGATGACGGCACGGTCGTTGCCGTTCCGTGAGGACCATGACGGGATGACCATCGGGTCGTCGGTTCCAGACAACTTTTGTGGTTCTTGGTCAAGACGAAACGTGAAAAATCGCTCACGACGATTAGCGTGATTTGTCTGACGCGTATAAGCCCACCCTCGACTCCCTCTAATTTTTTTTCCCATGAAATGAACCCGAGTGCCGTGTTGTTCGTCGCCATGGTGACTTCCTTAGACAAACAAAAAAAAAATGTGATGAGGAACCTCTCTTTGTTGACATTAGCAATCACAACGTTGCACTTTCAATTTGCCGGTGTTTGAACTTTCACCCTTTCGCCTCCTCTCACAACAAAATGCTATCCTCGCTGCGCCCCCTTAACCGCCCCCCCAAGTCACTCGCAGGCTGACTTTGCCCTTAAAAGTATTGTGTGAAAGTTGATGTCGAAGTGCGATAAAGCAAACGCGTACCTCATTAAAAGCACCCATCTCAAGGTAATCCGCGTACTATTAACCAGGCAATAAACATAATCATAAACAAGCCATAAACATTAAAAACTTGCCCAAGGTAACCGAGCTGGTCCCTTTTTCAATTCCCCCCCCCCTCCCTCCTTTTCGGCTGTCAATCATATCGCGTCATCTGGCCGGCATCTCTCTGCTTTTTTGAAAAGTATTTTAACCATCACAATAACATTCACGCTTAGCCCCGACTTCTTGAACCCCGTGTGCAACTAAGAGTGTTGCTGTCTAGAAACGCAACCAAAAAATTCACTTTGAACAAAAGACGCATGCGAGTCGATCAAAGTCAAATCGATACATCAATCTCCTCTTTGACCGAAAAAGATTGATGAGAATCATCTGTTCAACCCACGGGAGTAATTCATGAAAACAAATCCCGTCGTCAACTGGTACGTCATTCAAAATTAAGAATCTCGTTCGCTTTTGATCTACTGTCAGACGAGAGCGTCCCAA